AATCAATTGTATATGTAACTCTACATATATTATGACGTCATATTTTCCTAATTCCTTTTTTTATTATATTCAAAGAATATTTTGCCATTTTTACTTACAAAATTATAAATGAGATTCAATTTACTTGAATCTCTGTTTCTTCGATGCAAGAAAACCGCAGTGGTACGATATTTACATAAAAATTATCGGCGATAAGTTATAAAGAAAATAAAATAAAATCTTTTAACCGCGATATCGAGCAGTTTCTGAAATATCAAAGTTATTGATAAATTTTAAGCAACCAATATTTTCCACGAAGATGAAATATTTTTTATTAATTCTACATAGAAAGATGTCTGTTTAGAGGAAGATGGAATTTCTGTTTTCCAAAATTTCAGAAAATAAATTGAAAAATAATTTCCACGCGGTTAAATACCACTTATCTATTTACTAAGATATATTTCAGTGGCAAAACAAGCTTCTGGTGTATCAGGCCACTGAAGAGATACTGGAGGAGATAGGAGATATTATGAAACAATTAATCAAAATATCATTCTTCGTTAATTCTTCGTTAAATTTCACAGTAGATTTGCAGATAAAATGGAATTACAAAACGTTTAAAGTCATTTTTAGTGTACACGAGCAGGATAAAAAAGTTATCTTGAATTTATGTATATATTAAGGAAATCTTCTTTCAAATAAAAGTATCAAGCCAAGAAAAAGGAAAAAGAATGATTTAGCGCGTGTACGGTTTTCTTGAAAACCTCGGGCAGATAGTATGTGTATCTGTCGTGCTGCAAGTATCGATAAATATTTATCAAAGTTTAACTTATCAACAGCGAGCAAAGAGTGTTTCGTTTACACTCGAATTCCAGAAGAAAGTAAATTTGACATTTAATCGTGCATTAATATTTAAACTCGCTTCGTCAACAGCGCTCGTTTTAATAAATTCAAGAACAGATTTATCCCGATCAGGAATCTCAAGGATCTCCGTCGTTGCCACACTTAATACTTTTAATTCGATTAGTTTGCCATGCATTATCATATTCATAAAGTATGCTCAGGATCGACTAATTTCGCTCGCCTAATACGTTTTACCCGAACGACAAACATCTATACTCGATTATATGCACGAAGCAAACATGTTAAATGCCACTGCATCTTCGTTACGTTGTTAATGAGCTTTTGCTTGCTATTGTCGCCGAAATTGCATCGAATTTAGCATGAATATTCAAACAGCAGATCCGTAAGACGTTTCCGCTCGAAACCAGAAGATTCGCGAACCTCGCCCATTCCCTATGAATTTTAACGATAATCTTAATTTTATTTTAAAATACTTCTCTCGAAGTAGACATTTCACGAGGATCTATCCGGAGTATTTGATTTTGCGCAACCGCGTCGCAACAATGCGCATTACTTTACCGACCCACGTAGTTTCCTGGATCGGTTCAAACATTGTACGCCCAAGCACGTATGTACTTATCGTTCGATCGAACGACTTAAAAGCAAGTACACTCCAGTTTCATGCGTTTTGCAATTTCGCGTTTTACCCACCTACAATCGTCAAAAGCGCGAGATTGCGCAATCCCGCGTACACACTTGAATACGTTATGTCACGGCGATATATTTTCACGCCCGCGGCATTCCACACGGCCGGCAACCTCTTTAAAATATTAATTCGTCCGCGTAGCCGGGCGATATTATTTTTCGATAAGATAAAAACGTAGCCGGCGAGCTTGAAAAGCAACGCGAATACGTCACTGGTCGATAGGGTAAATGGAAATTTTTACGAGCCGCCTCGCGATCGGTGCACGCGGAAACGATATTGGCGCCATCGTTCGCGAAACGCCGTTTCACGCGATCGTTGTAAATCAACGTAATAAAATTGCCGCGGCACCGATGGTGTTTGAATTTTGAGCAGCTCGACTGCTCGGATACTCCGAGTCCGAGATGAAAAGATTTTTACATTAATTAATTAATCGTCTTTCTGCTCCAAAATAGATAGAATTATATATTCCTCGCGGACGTATAAAAACGAAGGCCTTCGAAACGAAGAGAGAGAGATCACTCGCTCGTGTTAGGGTTTCTACCGATCTAGCTGAGCATCGTAAACTTGATAAGAGACATAATCAGGGAGCGCGGGCGTAGCTCGACGTCTTGAGATTGTCGAGTTAGGGTAATGGGGAACGAATCTTGGGAAGATTTGTGACGTTTGCTCAATATACAGACCTTTTCCGCCATATTCCGTGGGTTCTAAAATTGTTTTCTATTATCGACTTATTAACGATTAAAATCGCCCACTTTCCGATCGCGATACGATTACTGAGACACCCTGTACGAGAGCTATGATGTAACGCTACGGCTGGGCTCAACTGCAAAGTTCCGATCGGCGCAAAATCCGTCGACTGCCTTTTTCCGTCGAAAATGGCATCGTCGGTGCGTGAAACGACGACGTGGCTCGATTCTTTGTTTTTTTTTTCGGTTTCAACGGCGCGGCGATATTTAAAATCAGAACGAATTGAAAACCGTTCGGGCGAACGATACTCCCGGAGGCGCATCGATTCATCGTCGACTTCCGGTCCGCGCGATCGAAAATCCGTCAACGTTCGACGGCTGCGAACGGATCGGTGCCATATGTTAGCGTGTGCAGCTGAGCCGTTGCTCTATTCCCGCAAAAATCGACTAATAAAAAGGCAACTCGTCGACCTTCGATATAGTCTATGCCTTCGTGGCGATTGGCTCTCGGTGCCTCTCTTTCTCTCCCTTTCTGCTTCTCCAGGACTGTGTGCTTCGCCAGTGTGCACCGTTGCCAACTTTCACGTATCATAATACACAGTGAAAGAATGTGGTTTCCCTTTCAAATTACAAAATACAGGCGCGAGCGCGCAGCACACTTCCTTCGATTATTCGGTGTTTTCTCACCTACTTTGCTTTTTTTTCGCGCGATTAGGGGCACGTCAGCGTACGCCATATTGGCCTTGGGACAGCTTCCCCGGGTCGTTACCAGTTCGTTACCCAAAAACCGCGATCGAGTTCGAGCAACTGTCCGTTGGATTTTGCAAAAGACAACGTTACGTTTTATATAAAAATTTACATAAAAAAGGTACACTTGTCCGTTACTCGGTGAAACGAAAATGAGGATTTCAATCGTCGAACGAAACGTTTCGCAACGAACAAATAAAAATTTAACCTTTCGATCGATCAAACGTCGCTGAATAAATTGCCATGCGTTGGTCTCGTTGGTTATCTGTTATTCCCATAAAATTTTGCTCATCCGTACGCCCCGGGCTTTCACGTCATTCGAATGGAAAAATCGACTCTTCTACTTTAATTTTCCGTAAACTACAAAAAGCTTCGTTCAAACTTCTATAACTCAAAATTTTTGGAATACTCATCTTGTCTCTGGTGAACAAATCGTGGACAAAGTTTCTCGAAATATCGCGTAATAAATACATAACAATATGGGACGAAACGTTTACGAGCACTGAAATTTCCGAAGCACAGTTACTGCAACGAGCTATAAAGAATGCCCTCGAGTGACGTCCACGATGGGCAAGAAATCCATCTTTTCGCTCATAAACTGCGTTTTCATAGCACCGGCGCTATTAATCATTGCTTTACGCGACGCAAAATCCACAGCAATAGCGAAACAACCTTTCTCAAAAATTTCGATCTCTAAATCTGAATGCCGTCGGGGGACGTTCTCTTCTCGTCTCCCATATACCATCCGTCGCGTCAGAATGCACCGCGTTGTTCATTATTCATCCGCATCGTCGGTTATTTCCGCATAAATTACGCTTAGCGTCTCGTCGATGGAATTTCTCGGATGTCGCTAATCGCCCCGACACGTCTTCATCCGGGGGTGGCGAAACTTTGACGCTGTAAGGTCACGATATCGCTTTGCAAATTTCTTGCAAGGTCAATTTTGCAAAATTATAACGAAGCTAAGAGTTTTTTTTCTAGGATTTCTTTCCTTGGAGTTGTAATAATCCAAATGATAACAACGTTTCGACCAAGAGACCTCATAGCGTACAAGCGTAATTGTTTCGAGAAAATGTGGGAGAAGAGCATCGAACGGTTCAAAAGGTAGGTCGCCATCTTTGCCCTGATCGATCGTGGCCAGCGAAATCGCGTTCTATCGGGGAGCCCGGTTTCGCCTTCTCCAAGGATACGGTGCAACACCTGAGACTGAAGCCTTGATTAAGATATTACGTTGCCACGCATGGTCCACACGATCGGGCGCTCGATTTTACAGTTAAAGACAGACTTGACCCAGATACACCGTAAAAAACCAGTAGACACGTCCGTTCTAATTGCGAATATCGATTCGACGACGGGGCTACTTGTTGCCTGGTCCGCCGCCATGTGTATCATCTTTCGTACCATTAATTTGAACAGGAAAGTATTCGCGCGCCCGTCCGCAGGTGAAACTGGGTCACGGACGCGGGTCGTACACCAGCGAACAATAAAAGTTGCAGCTCCTTTCATCCCGCCGCGCCGGGGAAACGGTAGAACGCCTAAACGAGAATTCATCGTGACGGATCGACGCAGGGACAGGAATCACGATTTCGCGCAAACACTGTGCTTCGTTCGACCTCAACGACTAGCAATATTTTCAAAAGTGGCGGGGGATGCGACCCTTAGAGGAAACATTGCATGATTTCCAAGATGGGGAGAACATTTTTGATACTGTTTCCATTTTTATTTATAGATTAAATAAACTCAGGAAAATAGTGTTATGCAATCTATAGAAATAAAATATATTTGAAAATGGTTGAAATTAGACTGTTTCACCCTGATAACTAAAAGCTCCTCTGTTACGAATTGTACCAGACATAGGTGTACACCGAAGCTTTCAAAGGTTGAGGGAACATTGAGAGGACGTATGTCTGGTGCAGTTATCGTACAGTGGGCCACCTATGACCTCAGCGTCATAGTAATTTCTTTCTACTCACCGCGGCGGCACCCATCCGTTGTTCTCTGTCCTGTTTTATAAGAAAGTAACGTCTCCTACGATTACGGGAACAAGAAGGTAGGGTCGTGAACTGGAAAAGATAGAAAACTGTTAGTTGTGGTATTGTCTGACTTGTTACAAACAAATATATTAGTTTGGTACCCCAAGTCCTAATTCCTCAAACTCATCGGTATCTACTTCTTCTTAATAGTAATAATTACATATATGCATTTTATTTGAAGAATACACGTACAGTGGACAATGAAAGACGACCTTAAGATTACAATTCTCTTGTGATATTAGTATAAAAAAGATTCCAAGATTCTAACATTAATAATTATTCGAAAAATGGCGGAGTCCATGATATGGGAGTCCCTGGACCGGTCCTCGAGCACGTGACTCGGCGATGCTATATCGAAAATGCCAAAAATCGATGCGGTGTTCGACGTGCTCCTCTGGCGTGGGTGTCCGCATAGGCAACAGGTTTCCGTCGTATCCCACTGTTCCGGTGCTCACGAGCAAGAATGAACAAAATGTCTGTCTCTACATACTACAATATTAGACTACTTTAGTTACTCGTTGTAAGAAATTGTATACAACATGTCAAGCTATATGCCACTAAACACTTCATACAATATTCAATATTTCAATTACAAAATCATTCGTGGCTATTCCATCTCGCAAGTAGAATATTCCTCTCTGAATTTCAGTAGTTCAGGATGTCTCTGACAGCCGCGAAGCATCGCCATTTATCGGGCAAATAAAACGGCTCGAAGACGTGCGGAAAAGGGCTGTCCCAACCCGTCACCCTCTGTATCGGTGCTTCCAGATGCAGGAAACATTCCTCCTGTTTTGCAAATTTTTCTGATTAACATTCAACCACGAAAAATAAATTGTACGTTTGATTGCTCTTCGTACAGGTGTTTAAAAGGGTTGAGAACCCCTATCCAAGAGGGAAAGTAACTTTTCCTCGTTGAATTAACTTATTAGCACAACGTGTCGGCATTCAACGAATTCTACGAAGAGACGCGAAACATCGTGCCAATAAATAAATTCTTCGTATTCTTTGTAACTCTAACGATATAGAATTGGTTGCGTTACGTTCCCCTCTGTTTCAAACTAGACCAGTTGAGTATTTGACTACTTTTAAGTGCATACAGATTAAAACATGCGTTGGAATCGTCGTAGTTCTAAAGAAGATACGTTATCTGGCTGTCGGAAAATTTATGGCTTTCCTGGGGATCGAGGAGGAACCTTGACACAGGGCAAATGGCGTCCCGGATATCAGGCGACGACTAATGAACTCGAAGTCACATACATTATCGTTCACAATTATTTGAGCAACTCTACGTGTAAAAAAAAACAAAAATTATGTCCTCGATTTAAAAAAAAAATAAAATGTAAAGAAACATAACACCTGCTCCATTTTATTAAACGTCATTGTAAATTCCTACGTGGTGTCGATAATTAAAAGAGAAAATATCTGAAAAGTCATTAATCCCATATTCTGTGAAATATGAATCAACGAGCCTCGATGATTAAGGGGTGAAATAAATTGAATCTCAGCGTGTGACGAACGCGTTCAAGTTCGAATTGTTAAACGAATATTTCAATTACAAATTTCGAGCCGTTCGTTTGCTGATTTAGAGGTAGGATCAGGGTTTTGCAAGGCGCGCGTTTGTACATCTGAACAAGCTGAAGCGTATCGAACCGTCACGAAGTGTGCGCAATGACGTAACAGAAACGCGCGTAATGATATCCTGCCACATTCCGACGATGCATTGAACATGCATCTAATGCATTTTCGGCAGGGAACGATCGCATACGCGGTACGTGTAAATAATTTCGTAACTGGAAATACTTAAAGTCTCGTTTAACCATTAGGCATACCAACGCGTCGATGGCCAGACTGAATTATCGCGAGGCATGCTTCAATTACGTCAAGTTATTTCGCGTTACACGGCATAATTGCCGCGATATTTACAGAAAAGTTGCCCGACGAACGAAATTTCTTCATTCGAACGAATCGAATTCAAAACGTATTCCAACTTGGCGAAGACATGGTCTTCGCGCCCAAGTACATATTTTCAGTTTTCAACCGTGTCGCGTTATTTGTACAGCTTTTCCATCGCTACGTAAATTGTAATATTATATAACAGTACGTCCCTGGCCACTTTCTCACGTGAAACGTAATATTTCTTTAATGTCCGTAAACAGGTGACGTTTGATGATCAAAGTGCTCGAAATAGAAGCAAAAGTCATTGCAAACGATGTTGACTTAATTGCAAGCACTACGAACTTGAAATAATTCACAAAACTTTAGAAATGACTTTCTTCAGGATCAACAAAATTACGAGTAAAAACTATTCTCAAAGCATAATATGAATTAAAGGCTAATAGAAACGTAGAAAATATATCAATCTTGCTTGTGCAAGATTCACTATTGATGATTAATTTTATTCGTAAGCCTCGATAAAAAATAATCGGAGAAACTTGTTAGCAATGTAATATCGATTATCGTAAAAGATACTGATCGCGAGAAACACATTGAGAACTTTTTTAAACATCTGCGAAGAGACAGAGGTGAAAGTAGGGATGTCGACCTTGCAACTGCTTCAGAGCTGTTCTTTACCATAGCGCTACAAGTACGCTAACGAGAAAAATTAATTCGATTCGCTTTGAAAGTAATAATTGTCTATAAAAATATTTACCTGAATGGTCGAGGCTATTTCTGCTCCAAATCCACTCGTCAGCGGTGCTTCGTGCGCTATTACGATTCGGCCCGTTTTCTTCGCAGACTGCAATTTCACGTGTTATTAGAGCATTCGCGTGATCGAGATCTAGTTTCCAAAATGGTCGCAATAAATCGTGTAGTCCAAAGTGAGTTGATATATTGTAAACTTTAAAGAATTGTTAAAATTCTAACGAAAATTTCGAAAAATAAAAAAATACGCGTCGATTATTTTTGGATGTTCTACGTGCAAGCAAAGTTCGAAAGCAATCGGTGGCGAGGATCTAGAAACGGCGCCTTGTAAGCGAGATCCTTGAGATACACCAGATTGAATTGGGAGAGCCGGTATCAGTTTTTGAACTTGACATTTTGGAAAGCCACGATAACCGCGGAAACCAAGAACATTTAATTTAATAGAGAGTAGAGCGACGAACAGAATCAAAAGCTTTGGGAAAGTTAGCGTAGATAGCGTCGATGTGGAAGCATATCTGTATAGAGTAAAATACAAAGCAGAGATATCTCGATAAGATCCCAGTAGTAGATCTATCGTACACGAATCCATATTACTCATTAATAACTACATACGTTCTTAATTGTAAAGAAACATTTGGACCCATATGTTCTGGGATAACACGTTTACATAATTTGTTTTTACACGCCTCGCGTGATTCCAATGAAGATTTCACGAAGGTTGAAAACATTTACTATCTACGTATACGAAAAAAATAATTCTATGTTTTAATCGAGTAGTGATTTGACAATTTTTAAAAAATTCTATTTCCGAGTTTGGAACGACTAGCGAGACTATGGTTTAAAATGATTATTCGTTCGTGAAAAGTGCGAAGAATCGTTTAAAAAAGTTTACGTTCGACCCACGGGGTGCTAGGCGTCGATCTCGATCTAGAGCGCAAGAAAGATCGTGTAACGCCGCGCATAGAGCCGTATGTCCTAACACGCGTCATGAAGGGTAATTCGTCGAACAAACGAACCGTGCCACGGATCAATTCGTCAATGATTTATGCGCCGTCCCATGCGAACGTGTATAATAATAATTTATACTCGGCTCCGACGCTAAGCGATGCATTAATATAGCGGTCGAACGGATCGTTTCGCGGCGACTATCGAATCCGCCCAGCCGCGATCAACATTAGAAACGAGCGACCGGTGGCCTGTAATTAAGATACGTAGGCGCGCCAGCGTGTGTGTGTATGTCCTGTTGTAAATCATTAGGTATAGCGACTCGACAGTACGCATGACTATACGCCGCGTACAGGTTTCTGTGACATTTCAGATTTCAGCTGACCTTCCCTGCAACTTTCTGAAGTTACGGTCACCCGTTGCAATCCGCCCTTCTTAATCGCCCTTACGACACACGGACACTATAGATTTTAACTATTATAGCTTCCATGCAGTGAATTTATATCGAAAACAAGTCGACGTATGTTTGAGCCTTTCAGTAATTTTTTTCTGGAGAAAACCGTAGGATTTTTTAATGCAACGATTTTGTTACGGATTGATACTTATTCTGAGAGTGTCCATAATTTTTTTTTATAAAAAATAATAACATTTGCAGGAATTATTTGAACGTTTATACTAGGTTGCAAGGGAGTACAGAAACGACGCTGTATGGATTTTAATTAACCTTCACACGGTGGATTTATATCGAAAATATGTCTGCCCAAGCGTTGTTTAGAGCATATTTAGTTTATCTAGCTAAGACTTGCACACGAAATTTCAACTTTTGCATTTCTTTAACGCCTTGGACACGATTGGTAGTTAAACGGCGATAATATTTAGTTTATGAAGACAAGAATGCGATAAAGATACGCTTTATGGAACGTACAGTCTATAAAATTTTACAGTGTACAGGTTTACGAATTGCATTAACATCGAATGCATAAGAATCTTTGAGGAAAAGCAAACCTCGATGAAAAAAAATAAATTCGAAGAAAAATCGTGTTGCATCCACGCCAACTATGTATAAATTATTATACGTAGTAATATTTGCGGTGATTCACGGATCTGTCCGTGTAGTTGTAGATCGACAAATGCCAAGCTTGGAGGAAACTGATGAACGAATTATTTCTACCATAGATATCAGAAATAAAATTTGAAATGTATGACCGGACGCTGCTGTGTGCCCTGCAAATGCATTGCATTTATATAAAGGGTGTCAAGCTAGATAACTGACAAACTTTTCCCCAGTGTGTTTGACAGGTCATTCTGATAACGTAATATACCCTCGAGCTCTGTAAAAAATAAAATACACCGCGTATTTTACAGGATCACCACAAATAGCAGAGTCGTAGCCCGTCGACCGCAAAAAATCATTCAACTTTCTTGTCTGAATTTTATTTGTTTTGATTCCCCGCGTTTTAATCTACCCAGCTCTTTTTATTCTGTTCTTTCATTTTGCTCCGTTGGTTTTCTGCGCTGGTTCCGAGCATATATAATAAAATATTATGCTGAACGCGTTACGAACATTCTCTATAAATAATACGTTTACTTAGCAATTTTCCGGTAAATAAAAACTCTGTGTCGAGAAAGTACGGTTCCGTAATAATTCTTGCGAAACGTTTAAAGCTGTGCCTCAAAGTAAAAAGTTATTTTATTAGTACATACGTGTGCGACAAAATTTCGTGGAATCTTTCAGAACGGACAAAATTGGGAGGATAAGAATTATTTAACGACACACTGATTATACGCATCCGTGCTGATTTTGTAAATAAAACTGCCCACGCGTGCATTCGTTAGCTTCTCGCGATGCGATTTCTTTGAAACGGAAGTCATCGAAGGTTCCTGATTAGTGAGAAGTGACAACGGGCTAAATTTTCAGATGTTATAATAACACTGAGCCCTGAAATGATCTGAAATCGACCATAGTTCGAAAACCTCGAACTGTCTCGGCTGGTCAACGACTTCTGGGCGACGGCCATTTTTCAAGATCAAGATATTTCATAATCCGACGCGTTCCAGGATCTCCGTTTACGAGAAATCGCAAGGGACTTTCGACTCCTACGGCGATTTAGCCGCGAGAGCAGGAACGTTCGAAGAACATCATCGACTCATCGAATCCGCGAGCGTATCGAAATTACGCGAAACGGGTTTCCAATTACGCTCACCACCTTTGCGCGCGCGTTCATCGTTCGCGTGCACGCGTGTACGGCTCAACAGCGTGTATGCCGCGAGTGCATACCGTGCAATCGGCATATCATTAGGCGGCTAAAAGATCGATTAGCATAAATCAGCGCGATATTAGTGTCCACGGTAATCCGCGGCTATCGTAATTCGGACGAGTGAATGTTGACTTTTTGTTCGCTTTCCGAATAGTTGCTCGCACGATACCGGCTACTAGCTAGCATTTAGACGGGCAAGAATTCAACGATAATGTTACTAAAACATAAACCGATAGGCATCGATCAATTTCTAATTGATGGATTTGAAATATGAATTGCAATTGGAAAGATCTAGGGATGGTTTTGGATTTTCCACGCACTATGTGCATTGTTTATTTTTTCATTCTAGTTAGTACGCCATATATTTCGTTTAATTATTTGGGAACTTTCTACTGACCCATTGTACAGACTGCAAATTTAGTTTTTCACGTATAATTTTTCCGAGAATAAAAACGAAAGAGAGTGGGAGAAAGACGGTATGATGATACGTTAATTGAAGGAGAGAGTAAATAAAATTGCGACGATCGATGCTGATTATCCGCGTCCGTGCCGATTTCGCAAATAAAAATGCCCACCCGTGCGTTTATCTGCCGTTTCATAATTACATTTTGTAAACGCTCGGGGCGAGCTGAATTTTTTCTACGAATTTCGAAAGTATTCGCGATGTTTTGAAACCGAGCCATGGGAAGATAGCCGCGCGGCGTAATTAGAGGTTCGTTAAAAAAGTAAATCGCAAACCCTTTTCTGCAGATATACGTTTCCGATACCGCGGTTTCGTCATAGCAATTTATTATTCCGATACACGGTGCCATTGTTTCCGTGCAATATTGACGGAAACATCTGTTCTCACGCATCGTCTGTCCAAAGAAAATAATTTCCCAACGATACTCGTTACTGAAATTCACCCTAAAAGTAAATCCGACGAACGTTTCAGTTTGTCTTTCTCTCTGTCTCTGTTTCTCTCCGTCGAAGGACACGGTGCCCACGTAATACGCGCAAACGTAACAGCCGTGCTTAAACGTAATGCATGCACGCGATCCGGTTGCATTAACGCATGAAAACGGGGCAAATTATAATGATGAAATTACCTTGCAAACGAGTTCCGCGTCCCAAGGTAGGATAGAAACGAGGTCTATCACCTCGCAGGATACGCCGAGCTTCTCTTGGACGAGATCGGCCACCTCCAGCAGTACGTGCACCTGAGTTCCCCAACCCACGAGTGTCACCGCGTCACCTGCGTGAAAATGCAATCGTGTACGTGTGTAACGCTCGTTTCACCTTACGCTTGTATATCGCAATTACCGCTGTACTTGTGCCTTCCCTCTCTAACCCCCCCCCCGTACGTGGTCGCGTATCCTGTTCCAGGACCGGTCATCGCGTGCACTGTTCCACCGATTGGATAATGAAAGGACGATTACGGCCGATAAATATTATATTCTCGAACGACGTACCGGAGCGTACCTCGCATTAAATGCGCCAGGTACGGTTCGCGGCGGTGTTTAAAGACTCGACGGTTCAATTATTAATACGCGACGCGAAGTAATTGCCCGACTAACTCCCTGCAATCACTTAATCGCTCGTTGACGTCCGATGGGAGGTCCGACACACGGTGCAGAGTTCGAGAAACTCGATACGATTGATAAGGGATCCGAGTCGCGGTCCAAACCGATCTACGATACGATACCGAACATTAGGCAATTCCCCCGATCGAAATTTACATAACGGAACGGGAGATTCGACTCGTGTAGCGCAGGTGGTCCGGTGGAATCGCGAGAAATGATATTATGACCGTCGGGACGTGCAATCACCTTTGGCGTAACGAATTATTTACATGGTTAATTAGTGGTTGGTAAACGACGCTGTAAATTTCGCGGGTTAACCGCCAACGACGAACATGAGAAAGCCCGACGACGTTGAGTAAAAGTCGCCGTGGCGGACGTGGAGGAAGATTGATCTACGCGCGCTGAACGCTCGGTGCTGCGAAACTAGCGATGGGAATGATATCGAGCCGATAGTATTGTCGCCAGACAGTAATCTAGTATCGAACATGTACACTGAGGCTCAAAAGTTTCAGACCTTGCTCGTCGTAACGCCTCTAAGGTCCCGTTGGGATACGATTGTCGAGATTCTCACTGTCTTGCTTGATAGAGTTTATCTTCGACTCTAGATTCTCAAGCATACCTATTTGTAACGTTAATCTAGTGTCTTGTGTTAATCAAAATTTGTGTTACGTTAATCAAATTCAACATAAATTGGTAAAAAATAATATTCACTGAAATTTGTTAAATTGAGATGCGTAAATCTAGCGTTTCAACTGATCTATGTTTGTTGACATTTACGATTATGATATATTATAGGAATAAGAATTTAGTTAGTAATAGATCGTCAGCTATGTTTCTTTTTTCAAGAATATGATCTGCTCCTGGCTTTTTAGAGATTGATCGTTTCAGGGTCAGTGAAGGATAGTTTTGTAAGCTGGAGTACTATCGACACCTTGGTATCGGTCCCATCGCTAGTCCAGACAACGTTGTTACGCGGTGCACGAAGTGAAACTTATCCCTGAGTCCCGTTCATCTTCCTGAACGCCTACCTTCCCTCACAACCTCAGCCTTGCCGATCTCGATCGTGTAACGAGCCGTCGGCACATCGTCGATCGCCGTGCGGTACAATATTTTCGGCTCGAACATGATGCAAGGATCCGGCTCCTCTATGCAGCTCAACAAAAGACCTTTCGCCTGTCTCGCTCCGCGGGGCACGACGATCTGAAAAAAGACGCGCTGTTACGTTCCATTGCTCTTTTTCGCGTTAGTTGTTAGCGCGATACGTTCGAGAATTCGCCGGGTCGATACGATGATAATAATACTAGGCGAATGGCTGATTCGGACGAGGGAACTTTTATTCTTCTCAAACTCGTATAAAGTTTATAACGATGCAGACAATTCTCATATTTTTAAGAAAATAAAGTAAATTAAGCTGAGCTCTACACACTCGCTGAAAACTCACGAAACATGGAAGTAGCTATTAAAGTTCCCCGCTAATATAGTGCAACAGAATTTTTAGAAGATCGGTGTCTTGAATTATATGCTTTCGAACAATAGTGCCTATATTCCCCGCAGTATTTGTATTAACCTAAATTCCCTTGCATTGGCCGTGAAAGTTCGAGGGAAAGGGATGATGGAAGCTTATAGAAAAGCAATACGTTCTCGGAAACGAATCTCTGCTTTTCAGGTAATCCCATAAACCAGTCCGACGAAATCGATCTGAGAATGGATGGCCATATCCTGGAGAAGAAACTACCATCCATGAAGCTCCGTATCGAGCTTACGAGTAACCGACGATCGCTTCTGCGAGCCATAATCGCCGAGATGTGGGTGTTGAAAGAGCGTTCTGCTCTAGAATTCCAAGTCGTTTCTCAAATTTTGCCGAATATTAAAAACAACTCGTCTGAAAGTATGCTGGACAGAGGCGAATAAAGTGACTTCGGAAGAAACACGAGAGTCTTGGATCGAATCGACGAATGTCAAATTTTGTTTTGATAGGATCGATGAGCGAACGCGTAGATACGTTTCACCTTTGTTTCCACGAGCGCGGTATATTCTATCGAGTAGCTCGCGATCTTTCAGCTTCAGGAAATGTCGACGCGATGTTGCACGGTGCTGTTCATGTAATCGAGATGTATAGTGTCGGCACAGCGGCGCGTCAGTGTACGATGGAAACTTTCTTCATGCATACGTAGAGTACATGTGTCTTACAATATTCATGGAATCTCTTCCAGAAAGTTAAGAGCCAACGACTATAGCTAACGCGCGCCAACGCGGAGGATATCCTTGAGCATAGAAATTCGTTCGAGTTGCTTGTACAAGTATTTTACATTTCGCGTTTACTCATCGATAACCCATTTCGCGGTCGCCTGATTCAAAAATCACCGACGAGCAGAAAATTTCATGGAACATAGTTTCGCGTTAAATCTTCGACTTTTCGAAGTAAGCTTGTTTTAATATTGGGAAATGTAAAATTTGTATTATAGTTATTGTTATAGAGTGTACCTTCAAACCTGGCGTATGCGCGAAATATGCTTCTGGACTTTGAGAATGATAAAGTCCTCCATGACCAACAGCTCCACACGGTGTTCGAATTGTTAGCTTTCCACAGTCGAATTCACCGCCGCTTCGATATCTTACCTTGGCAGCTTCGTTTACCAGCTGAAGATAAAATAACGGAAATTAGCGAATATTTCTGCACCGTAAACGAGGCATATTTTATACACGCGATAATGCGTTCTATGTAATTGCAATTATAAACTGTTCGAAAGTAAACGACGGGAATTTATTTAAACAATACCTGATCGAAAGCAGGGAATATGTAATCCGCGAATTGGATTTCTGCGATCGCTGTTACACCAGCAGTAGCTAAACCAATCCCAAATCCAGCGATTCCTTGTTCGCAGAGCGGCGTATTGAACACGCGATCCTTGCCAAATTCTTTTTGAAGATCAACCGTGCAACGAAAGACACCGCCAAATGCCACGTCTTCGCCAAATATCACTAATCGTAGTAGAGAAATTCTTAGATAAATGTAAATATTATAATTGAATAATTTATCGATTTTTAAAAATCATGTACCTTACATACTTATCAATGAAAATGTTTTTAATTAAAATAGCGTTCCTTCATGTTTATCGTGTATTATGAAATATATGTATTTGAATAATTGTAGCGATTCCATTATCGTTTCTCGAAGATAAGGTACGAATGATAATTTATATTTTCGTCGGAATATTCGCGAAACATTTTGTATCGTTTTCATTCAGTGATCTAATCGTTCCCTAACACATTAATAAATTGATAAATACGATTTATGTTAGCGATGTATAGTTTTATTTTTAAACGGAGTATAAAGATATATCGTGCCATTAATTGATAAAGAGTGTGATAAATTATTAAATATATATTATTACCTGCATCGGGATCGTTCGTTAACGCGCTTCGGAGTCCTTGATTTATTGCTTGATACATATTCATGTTTTCAGTCTCACCTGAAATAAAAGTGACTCATGTACTTATTTGTCGATATCAATTTCTTGGTGTTCACACATAATTGCGACATGTATCATGCGAATGCTCTCATTCCACTATCAAACCCGGAAACATTGCTTGATGTAAAGCAACACATTAACAAAGACCAGCTTTGTATTCGAGTTTTTTTATTATCCAGTATTTATCTCAACATTTTTTTCAATTAATTACAATGTATCGTAATCAGCTATAAATACAAAGGGATCTATAATAGTTTAGCAACTACTTTTGATCTACTGCGATGAAAAAGTTTTATTTAACTTTGAGATTTCAACAACTTCGTATACTTGCTGAGAAATATGTCTTTATCATGCTAATCATTTAGATGATAAGTATATGTGGTAACTAAATTGCAGTCACGATAACGTTGATGACGAAGCGTTCCTCTTTGAGAGAACGAGATTTCAAATTTTTATTACAGATAGTGCTACGTAAGAAGAAATAAAGATGTGGAACGAAAAGAAATCATTTCTTAACAGTTACTTAATTTTACTTATTAATCCCTAAACTTATACATTCTTTTCTATTATTAACAGATTACTATGTAACTGTAAGTTGATCGTATTGATTATTCGAATAAAATTTGGTTTATTTCTGGCCACTGATTAAAATTAAAAGAAATAATCTTGCACTCACCGGATGTATTCGTGTTTTTATCCTTGTAATACGTAAAGTGTATACACCTGACATTTTCACGTTGCACAAATCTATCCACAGTATTGAAACCTAGAGACGCACGAGCGTTCAGGAGCCGAGCACACAATTTACTGAATATCATCGTGGATAAATGTCGCTTCTAACTGTGAGACGATAGTGAGTGACTTTATCTCCCACTCGATATTTACATACAATACGGTATTGAAAAATATACGAGCCCCCGTGCTCGACCTAGACTGAATTTCGTAAACAGCCTTCGTCGGACACACGAACGCCTTCGAGTGTGTAAGTTTGTATTATCATTGAAGAAGCGCTACGCGAGGTTTTATGGCATCTCTAAGATTATAAATGTTTTTCGTGTTCCTTCGACAAAATTATTTAACGTGAAAAGTAACGTAACTTTTCTAAAGGCGAACAAATTTTATATATCACTTAAATTATGAGAAATTGAGGGCAAAATATATATTAACATATTTTAAAACTTTATAAAATATTTTCGTACGAAAGAAATAATTTTAGATGCGTTCGACTCTTATCGTGCTTGAAATTTATTTGAATGTACCGCTCCTGAGATCTAATTTCGATTGCTTCCGAAATAATTAAATTCTTTCAATATTTAGTCTTAATTCCAGACACTGAGAGTGCTAATTTCGAATTCCAGTGTGAACCGATAACGTTGGAAGTGACACAGAAATGGTAAGGGGACTCGCGAGCCCCTAATGCACGTAACAGAAAAAAGCATTGCACGCGTCTATTCTATTCTATTATATTAGATTGATGATTTGTAGTGCATAAAGGCACAGACAAAGAATAAAATAGATGTTCCTTCCAATGTTTGTTTCTGTAGAAACATGAAGAAATATGAGGAAATATTTTCTTCTTGGTGTCTTCATCAATCCCACGATGTTTTTCTAAAACATACACTAATATACAATAAATTATAACCGACATGAAACAAAGAAATACGACAAGATATTTTCTTCTTGGTGTCTTCGTCACTCCCACGATGTTTTCCTGAAACAAAAACTCATATCCAATATAATATTTAACTCATATAAAACAAATAAATATGAAAAAATATTTCTTCTTGGTGTCTTGATTAATCCCACGATGTTTCCCTGAAACATAAATCAGACAATAAATAAAATTGTACAAAGAAACTAACTACATCAAGCTACTTCAAACTACAATAGAGTGGCACATATGGGGATGAAGTTAGACGTTTTAAATATCGCAACACTACGGGGCAACAACGCGATAAATCAACAATCGCAACGCTAATTTATAATAGAAAAAATTCCAAACGCGACTTGTAAGAATAAAAGCAACCCGCGAATGGTAATTATTCGCAGCACTACCCTGAAAAGCAAACGCGAAAAATAGTAATTCGCAACTCTAATTCGCAATCGCGTTTACTAAAAATTCGCAACGCTATTTTTAAAGCAAACGCCCGGTTCCTAGGTTTGCATAAAGACAATCACGAATCGTATTTATTCGCGGCACTGATATATCAACGCGATAAATATTTGTTCGCAACTCTACGAGCAAACGCGAACATTGTATATTATTCACAACTCTAACTTTAATCAGGGGCTATTGATACATGTACATAGACATGTACTGGCCACAAAATAAACTAACTACTGCTAGTACTACAATTGGGGTAGAATTTGGGCATTGAAAATAACGCAACGCTAAATAAAAAATCGCATGACTAATCAAGATCGCAACGCTAATTTATAGTATAAAAATTGCAAACGCGGTTGATGTCCATTATATGTATAAAAGAGTAAAAAAGCAACGCGAATCGTGATTATTCGCAACACTACCCTGAAAAGGAAACGCGAAAAATAGTATTTCGCAACTCTACGAGCAATCGCGTTTATCAATAATTCGCAACGCTATATTTAAGCAAACATTCGGTACCTAAGTTTGCAAAAAACCAATCGCGTATTGTGTCAAGGCGCAACACTACCCTGAAAAGGAAACGCGAAAAACAGTGATTCGCAACTCTACAAGCAAACGCGATTATTGCATATTCGCAACTCTATGTATATCATAACCGCGAGTTATGGGGAGGGATGGCTGGCATGTTTGGTGCAATCATGTACCATCAGGTACATGCATACGTGAGCGAGTCAGAAAAATAAACTAACTACAACTACAGACGAGTTAAGTGACAAAGTAGTAACAGGAATGACTTTCCATTCTCATCCGAGGATGAAGATGAAAAGCCATTTGTTGCAGCCCACTCTTGAGACAGTTTGTCAGGGCCTCTTCGGCTTATTGAGAGCCTTTTCTTTCTTCGGCGGTCCTGCCGATGCCTGAAACTTACGAAAGACCGGGCTCGAGATTTTGTGTAATACGTAGTCTTCCAACAATATACGAATTGTTGCAAGAGCATACGTGGTGAATCTCGAGCGGGACGAACGTTTCGAAAAGGACCTAATCCCGATCGCGAGCGCGAGAGAGCGACTTAAAGAGTCGCGCGATTCGAGGAGTCGAAAATAAAGCCGAAACAAACAGCACAAGTGCGCTGTTTGAATCAGCAAGATTTCTACTCTCGAAATCGTAACTACAGGAACAGAACTGCCACGCGAAAACGCGCCTACCCGAATTACTAATGTGGACAGTTCTGCCCTGACCCTACCTACTTAGGTTTAAACAAACACACCAGAGAATAAGTTACCTACCTACCTAACCCTATATTTAAAAAAATGCAAAACTCAGTCTCTCAAACAAACACTCCACGGTTCTCATTCTGAATGTCCGGGCGCGACCTAAACTAGAGAGGACTCCCCGGGGTTCCTCCGACACCCGGACACAACCTCATTCATACTCTAAATGTACGTACCATTTCTGGAATCGACTGACAAAGCTAGTGCCCATTGCGTACTTTTATTATTTATGTAAAACATTTTAATATATCTGATATAGTCTTTATTAAAATATGCTCTATATATGATCATATAAGATTGAAAAGCTAATTCATTATGCATGTTACAATATTATTGACGTATATGCAATACGAGCAATTGCCAAGTAAATAATAACTATAAGTTTAATATTACTATTGTGACTGGTATGAATCTAATGTCAAAAAATTCTGTATCTGAATTGTAATAAACTTTTGAAACGATGCACTTCCACATCCTAACCACAAACACACATATGTGGACAGTACATCGTGCACGATACACTAGCATTGTCAGTCGCACAGATAAATTATTATTATAAATGTTACAAACTAAGTCATCGTGCCCCGTTGCCTTTGCTCGTGCAAATAACACTTGGGCATGTGCATGAACTTAGGCAACGAACACGGGAAAGTATCCTGAAAATCCTGACTAGAACAACTGGTTATTAATAATTAACTAAACGGTATCTATTCTCAGTTAAAATGACTCGACTTGTTATATGTAATATATCAACAACAGTCTACGTTAATATTGAAAGATATTATTATTCAAGAAAAATTTGTGATTGAAATTTAATTGTTCAAAATGTAAGACTTTAATAAAGATTTCACGATAAAATAATTTACTTTGCAAATTTAAATAAATTTGTTAAATTATTATTCAAAATATTCAATTAACCTTGGTCGATTCTGTCGTCAAAGTAAATTTAAAAAAAAATAAAATTAACATGCATGTTCCTTTGAGTTGAAAATCGACCAGTCGCGAAACGCCTTCTTGCACATAAAATACATCATATGATGTATTAATTAATAAAACGAATATTTAATAATTATATTAATGATGTAAGATATTGTACTCAATCATACGTTTAATATAATGTTTTCACATTATATTAATTCATATTCTACTCAATTATTTAATTCATATAAAGATAATAAACATATTTCATATATTTTATCAAAATTGTGTAATAATCATATTGTGTAATATTTATTGATAACATTAAAAAACGCGAGTGCAAGAAGACCCTAGCCTGCACTAAAAAAATATAACTCATGGGTATTTTTCATACCCGCGGTCACTTAACTCGTCAAAAATACCAAATATACAACTGGTCACCCGTGTTGATTCGGATCTTTCATCCTACAACATGGTTGGGGACCAGAGGAAACAAAATAGCATGCGACTCACCAACTGTAGAATTCAAACACCCGGACGACGATGTTGCCTAGTAGGAGTCATCAGCGAAGTCATCAGCGACGTTAGAAACGAAGTCAGCATCAAGGTCAGCAGCGAGATCATCGTCGAGTTTCTCTGGATTCACAAGTACGATGATGAGATGTCAGGATCCTTTAGAAAGAAAGAGTAAATGTTTTTACGAAAAGGTTTCTACCGTATTTGAAAACTTGATGGCAAATTTAGATGAAACAATTTTTTTTAAGCGCACTCGGAACAAAATACGAAGGATACTTACATTTTTCGCACGTGAGCATCGCCAAATACTCTTTTTCGTACAGATACAGGTTTCCTGTCGAAACGTGTTCACAAACTCTCAAAGCATTATGGCGTCGCGTGACCGTAGTTTGGCCGCAGTTGAGAGTCTCATGTGGTTGAATTGTAATTACGAGCTGCCACAGAAATAAAACACAAATTTGTTAACAGACACTTATTAATATTGGATAAATGCATCGATGGATAATGACGAAAAGAAGAGAACCGGTTAAAAATGAAAAATACGTTTGACCGTAGTTGAGCGTCCCGTGTTTGAATTGTAATTACGGGCTCTTACAGAAATAAAACACTAATTTGTTAATATGCACTTATTAATATTGTATAACTGCATCGATGGAGAATGACGAGAAGAATAGAAATGGTTAAAAATAAAAAATACGTACCTAATTAGACGCGAAACTGTCAACGCACTTCTCACACCACTTTCCAGACGAAGAATGACGAACAGGATCGGACACGTCTCTCTCGCGAGGAGTGGGGAGTGGAGTGGGGAGTGGGGTGAGGGAGTCACGTAGTCCGTCTCGACTCTTGATGTGTATCTTCGAAATAAAGGTTAAACCTTATATCTCGAAGAACTGAAAATAAATAAAATTAAGACATGAAGAAAATAAAATTAATATAAAAAGATATCAAACAAACAATTAATTAATGATTTATAATCTTTATACTCCTGTGACGTCACAATGAGAAGCTGTCATTGGCTCATCT